CTTTGTACGAACAAAAGTAAGAGAAATTTAGGATAAGAATACGAACATGTTCTTGCATGAGGCCCATTGACTTAACCAGACATTGTGCAGAGGCAAATGATCCCAGTTTTAAGTTTTAAAAGACAAAAATTAAATGGGGTGAATGGTGTTGGTCGGATGTATAGTTTAGGAGCTATGTTGATTTTACATTCTCTTTTTAGCATTTGTGGAAATCCAGGTCGGCAAACAAAATGCCCCAATAAACATACATGTGACAAAATTTCAAGTGGATATCATCAACTTGTGTTTACATGTTGAAGATTATAAATATWCAAAGCCTTGAAAAAAAAYCAATGCAGTATACAGTACAAGGGAGAAGCTTCTGCGATTCAGTTTAGGCGATTTTTAACATTTGCACCTTACAGGGGAAGCCCGTTTCAGCCCCTTGTATCTAATGTCTTGTTTTTTCTGTCATGATCTACATCACACGACTATAGGTGAGGGGTGGAAAATAGAAGRACTCGTAAATCAGGGCTGCTCAATTAATGTAAATAATATAAGTTACAATTATTTTATGATTAATCCTTTTTGCCCACTTTTCTGTGCAGGGGTTGGGGGAGCTGGTGCCCATCTACAGCAGTCACTGTGTGAGAAGCAGGAACACCCTAGGGCTGGGAGATAAACAAAAAACAGTACCACTTTACAATAAGTCTCCCCCTATAGATGGCTTATARTTAATAGATAGGTTATTAATTCATCTAAACACTTYATAATAAGTGTTTGTRGATGAAGCCCAATAAGTGTTTATTATGCATTAATTAAGGGTGAGAAAGAGACAAAACTGTCTAATTCCTTGCCTAATTGTGAGCCAAATCTGTTCATGTACATATTAAACATTTCAGACTAGGTTATTACCTTTTTAAGAACAATGATTTCAAAACACATATTTTACAAATATTATTGTACTGCATCATACATATCCACAACTAGGGCTACACAATATATTAAAAAAATTATTGTCATCGCAATAACAGCCTGTGCAACATGAATATATCACAAAAAACTGCATAAACTGCAATAAATGGTTGGCTCAAAAGTTTGCATTTATGCATTTTGTCACTCAGACGGAAGCTTGAAGTGTTTCACAAATCAAATGGAGCCCTTCATGTGTTTGGCCAATTGGCTGGATCTCTTCATATTCATGCTGGAATGGAAAACATTGCTTTTTTTCTGCTCTGAACCCAGAGCAGAAATACATCAACACTACATACTTATGTATTTGTTCATTTATCGCAAGTCATATTGCCATCGCAATATTAAGTACTGTTTTCACAGGTTTTCTAATATTGTGCAGCCCTATCCACAACTATCAAAGGGAGCCTTATTATTTTATTATTATAAGACATCTATAAGGGAAGCATTATTGAAAAGTGGTACCCAATAAATAATATATATCTCATTAAGACWGCTGATCGAACATGTCTGATAGAAMTTAACTGCYGGACCTCTCACAGCCCAGCTAAGCTTGGTGGGTGGCTTTAACTTCGGTCAGCTAGCATCAACCTGTTGAGAAACGTGAACTARTAGTTGGGCAATACTGACAAAAAWTTCCCATGATTAAYTGTGGMRTTTACCCAATAATATGTAGATAAATACATGTCCCACATGTATCCTGTGTCAATTATGTCCCCCACAGAATACCTCAGGAAATGTAGCCATAAACTGTCTACAGATGCACAATTCTCATGTAGACTGCTGCAGAGTCAAACTCCTGTAACCTAAAGTCTAAAGGCTTCTGTAAAATTCTCCYATTCTTGAGATTTGTATTAGCAATCACAGAACCTTGCATGATGTTCCAAGTTTTTAACCTCACCTGTCAGAGGTCATAATGTTCTGGCTGGTCAGTGTTACRTCTGTAGTGTACTGTTGCCTGCTGTTGTCATCACACAGAATTAGGTCCTGGTGACAGACAGGCTCGGCCCTTTTATTAGAAGTCTGGCACTGATGTTGCACTTTGCAGTCGGTGAGGAAACTACWTTATGAGTAACATGAAAGATATTTCAGTTTATTTTATATTAAAGACTATTATTTGTGGCAGCTCAGTCACCTGAGAAAATGTGTGGTTTAATAACTACAAAACGGTCAAGCGTGGTCACATACATTGGATTATTTTAAAATATCTACATATATTCAATTATTAAGTCTGCTCTCTCCGCAGTGACCCATATTTATATTTGGTTGCTGTTTGACATAAATCTTAACTAGATCTCAAACTGGCTTATAACATCCCAACCCAGTGAAGTATTAGCTATAAAAACTGTATCTTTAGATCATATTACAAAGCCAAGTGGTCTCTCCTGCAGCCCTCCAGAGTGCCTCTCATGCTGTAACGCAGCAAACTGGAATAAACAGAGAGCAACTCAGTAGCCTGAGCTAAAAGAAAAGAGACAAAGAGAGAAGAAAGAAGAAGGGGAGACAAATGAGAACTGGCAGCMGAGTATCTCTGTAATGCCCTCTGCTCTGTCATTGGTTGAGCAGGACACCCTCAAATATCAGCTCACTTCATGCACACATTCTTCTCCGACCCAGCAGCCATTGCCACGGAAACTAAGCCTTCTCAAGAGATGTGTTATTGCTGGACATTGGCCAAGGGGTGCTTGATGATTGGGTGGAGTGGGGCAGGCAAGTGGGGTGGCTAATAGAGATTAGCCTTGTTAGAAAAATWATATAATCAAGGAAAATGTTTTTGTCTTTATTTAACTGAAAGCAGCGTTTGCTGTTTTGACAACAAGTGCTCTGGGGTGGGATTCATAAAACTTGCGTACGCACAAAACGAGGCCAGAAACTTGCGTACGCACAAAATGAGCCCAGAAACTTGTGTACGCACAAAACGAGCCCAGAAACTTGTGTACGCACAAAACGAGCCCAGAAACTTGTGTACGCACAAAACGAGCCCAGAAACTTGCGTACGCACAAAACGAGCCCAGAAACTTGCGTACGCACAAAACGAGCCCAGAAACTTGCGTACGGACAAAACGAGCCCAGAAACTTGCGTACGCACAAAACGAGCCCAGAAACTTGCGTACGCACAAAATGAGCCCAGAAACTTGCGTATGCACAAAACAAGCCCAGAAACTTGCGTACGCACAAAACAAGCCCAGAAACTTGCGTAAGCACAAAACGAGCCCAAAAACTTGCGTACACACAAAACAAGCCCAGAAACTTGCGTACGCACAAAACAAGCCCAGAAACTTGCGTAAGCACAAAACGAGCCCAGAAACTTGCGTACACACAAAACAAGCCCAGAAACTTGCGTACGCACAAAACAAGTCCAGAAACTTGCGTAAGCACAAAATGAGCCCAGAAACTTGCGTACACACAAAACAAGCCCAGAAACTTGCGTACGCACAAAATGAGCCCAGAAACTTGTGTACGCACAAAACAAGCC